TTGTCTCTTCCTTGTGTTAAAATTACTGCTACCAGGTTCACTGACTAGACCTTGCAGCCAATCATAATCACATCCTCTTTCCTTCACAATTTTTTCTACCTAGATTTAAGCAGAAGAGTAAAACCCTTACTTTTATCCAAGAAGAGAACTTACTAGCCACAATTACAAAAAAAAATTAAAAAGCTCGAAGCTAGTTTAGAAAAAGAGAAGGAAAAAAAACAAAAACAAAAGAAAGAAAAAGAAAACAAAAGAAAAAGAAAAAAAACAAAAGTAGAACCTAAACTCTATTCTATTATAACTAAAAAAAGATGAAAAAAATATAAAAGAAGAAAGAAATAAACACAATCTGAGTAGTACTATTATAACTTGTGCTAGGCTTAAAAATTATATACTAAATACAACATTTGTATATCTCTACTATAAAGCTATGCCTTAATAGAAAATTTCTTTCTGACTATCCAAACATTCATATATAGCTTATTAAATAGAGACCTTGTCACATGGAGTAGCACCATATTCATCAGTAAACAAAACACGTGATTGCAATCTACTGTGATATTCTGATTTGTATGGAGTAAACAATGCTAATCTTTTGATAGGGGTAAGCTGTTTTGCCCACTTTTTATAAAAATTTTGTTGAAAAAGTAAGTGGGTAATAGTATGAAGTATAGCTCTTGTACTCTTCTTAAAGAAGTGTATATTTTTTTCAAAGTCAATAAAACATATAAAGCCAAGTATACTGCTGGTTTTCTTGTCAGTAGATAATAAACCCTAAACTTGTTAGCAAATAGTATATGAGAACTACTTCTAAATAACAAGTGCCATCCTCATAGTAAGTGATAAGCTCTGGGCCTGTTAGCAGGTAGCATATGAGAACTATCTTTAAATAACAGGTGCCAGTTTATGGTTTTGACTAGTCTTATTTCCTTCTTTTCTACCATAGTTTACTGTTTTTTAAAAAAAAAGTTTGTTGTGATTTTGGTACAAGAGATCATTGATTTTGGAACCCTATTTACAACACTTTGTAAAAATTAAATTACCAATATTACACCTCTAGTGAGTTGTCTTATATTAATAAAAATATATATTTTTTATTATCAACTTATAAAATATACAATTTACTCTGCAACATTTGGTGGTGACTATGAGATATGAATTTTATAAATTTAGTTTATAAGTTATCTAATAAACAAAAATTTACTTTAAGAAAATAAAACAATAAACTATATTAGAAATTATTAAAAGATAAAATTTGAGACTATATATTATCTTTTTATATTCTTTTTTTAATTTTTTATTTTTATCTTTTTATTTTTATTTTTTTTTTACTCTATACTCAAAGGTCTTATATTAATACCATTGATCTAGGCCCTAGACTCTTTTAATATCTTATACTTTAATGTTTCTCAACTTATTATACAAATACTCTTTAAAATCTTTGACCAATTATATCACAAAATATAGATTCCCTATTGTATTAACTTTTTTTACTAGAAAAAAGCATATTAAATTTCTTCTCAATCTACTTCCAATACAATATTTAATTTATCCATATCTTCTTTATACAAAAGAAACAAAACTAAATATACTTATAACTACTCTTGTGGCTTTGCCAACCAACTACATTCTAAATTTAATACTTGTCCTTCTTTAGAACAAATATCTACCAAACTTAATATTTGGTTTACTATGTAGATTAGATATAACACATCTACTAACAATATTCTAACTATTCAAATCTAGGTAAATTTTAACTACTCTAGTAGGTTTAGATCACAGATAATTAGTTTAAGCTTTAGTTTGAACTTTTAGTCTGAGCTTTTATTCTTGTATATAATTTATATTTATTTGTTTTTGTACAAATTAAGCTTTTATAACTATGTAACTGCTTATATAAATTAATCAATAAAGATATGAGCAAGACCTTACCTTAATACCAAAAAAATAAAAAAATAAATTTTATCTAATTACAAATCTATACTTTTTAATTTTAGATTTAACAGGGTTTCTATAAGTTTTACTTTGTATATATCCAGCAAATAATACTAAAAAGAAATTTTGCAGCCTAGTGGTCTAGACACCCAACTCTCTATAAGTGGGTTTTGGGTTCAAGTCCAAGTAGATACATTTATCTATGAATATTTGAATATATACATATATAAAAAGTTCAAGTAAGTACTTATTTGGAATAGAAATTTCTGAAAAGAGGTCTATTGTAGAGAGATGGCACTATGTGTAACAAGCAAATATTACTGAAGATTCTATTATCTGAAGGTTGTATATGTAAATTCTTGGTTTAGTGATTGGACTCGTCAAAAAAAATGCCACCCGGGTCACCTGTGGGTGGACCTATGAGCCACCTGGGTAGAATCTGGGTGGGTTAAAAAAGCAACCCTTCAGGTGGATTCATGAGTTATCTGGGTAAAAATAGAGCATTACAGCTATTTTCATAAATTCCAAAACAACTAAAAAAATTGTCGATAACCAAATTAATAAGCTTCAGAAGTTGGTTACTTATTGATTCTGACTTGGTAACTTATCAATTTGGTCATCAGCAATTTTTTTAGTTGCTCCAGAATTTATAAAAAACAGCTATAAAAATAAAATAGTAATTTTATTTAGATCGGTTAGAAATTTTATCAAAATAGTAATGTTTAAAACTTTACCTCTGATTCATTGAATAAGTGTCTAGTCTAATATAACACCTATTTTGAAAGTTTTTTTTTAAGAAAAAAAGGCAATTAATATACATATAAGTGCATATTTGGATTAAAGTCACAATTATTATTCACGGGTCACCTGTTGGGTGACTCACTTGCTTCCACCCGGGTGGCCAAAACTTCACCCAGGTCACCCGTCCACCTGCAGGTGACCCGGGTGGCACCTATCCAGGTCTAATCACTACCTTGGTTAATATAAGTAACACCAATAACCTCTAAGGTAGCATTGGGATCTTAATTGGGAGGATAAACAGATAGTAACTAGAATTGAAGTAGTGAGAAAAATAGTAAAATACAAAGAGATCTGTAATAAAGAATTGGTTTTACCAAATTTGAAATATTTCTGGCATTGTACAGAACTCACTAGCCAATAAGTTGAAACATGAAAACATGTATATGTTGATAAATCCAATAGGCTCTAGTCATACCTGTATAGAAGTCTTCAGACATTAAGAGAACCTGAGACCACCAATATAGATATAGCTAGTATAAGTGCATGTAGTTGTAACTAAGCTACAACTGCTAAGAATCACTATAAAAAGAAACAATAATGTACTTATTATGCAAGAAGCCTCATGATGCCACCCAACTATACTGAGTACTAGAAGCATATATGAAACATGTCTGGATGCCTTATCACCATATTGGGAAATATAGTCATTAGCACAATTACTGAATTTAATATGTTAAGACCTGGGTTCTAAAGTTGCAAGAAACCAGCTAGTTATGGCAGCACGCAGGTTTAAGATACTTATCTAATTGGGTAGAAGCAGCTGCATGGCTTGAGATATGAACTTCTAGAAGTACACTAGTAGGGATTAAGGGAAATCTCTTGTCAGGCACACCAAACTGGAAGCAAAAAGCACCTATCTGGGGTAATACACATCGATTTGGAAGTTAAAATAGTAGGTAATATGGATAATGTGGCAGACATGTGAATACTGATTGGCAGTTGGAGAGAGAAGTACAAATCCAGGTCAGCTGTATAGTGGGAGTACAAGAAGGCTTTGGTGGGTTTTAGCTGTGGATAAATGGTTTGTATAACTTGACATTCTAGACTTAGTTCTTAATATAATATGTATATATATTGGCACCATCATATGTCAATCATTTAAGTATTAAATAAAGAACGGATAACTGGATATCTGACGAATAATCCGAGTCTATCCGAGTATTTATAAATCCGGATAGGATTCTAAAATTATGCGGATAGCTAGGATTTTAAAGCTACGGATCGTTACTCTAATCTGGGATTAAGCCCTCGATGATGGTTTGAAAATTAAGATTCCGGTTTGAATACCGGGTTGAATCCAAGATTTAAGTTTAAATGTTTAGGATTGGCCTATTCTCCTAAAACACAAAAATAACACAAAACCTTATTGATCCTGTGATTGGATTTTAACGATTTTGGTCTCATGAAATAGAAATAGTCATATGAGACGGTTATTTTGGTGACAAGATAATTTAAAATGTTATTTTTTATTTTTTAAAATAAAATATTTTGTCATTTGTCATTTATCATCTAAATTATAAAATGGAAATGACAATTTCGCAATGTCATTTAAAGTCTCAAAGTTTAGACGCGTGACAATTTGTGGCGCAAACAAATCAGATTTCTAGATCAGGTATATATAACGTTACGCGATCAGGAATTCTAGAAGCCTCGTTTTTAAAAAGCAGCATAAGAAATTCTAGAAACCTCGTTTTTAAAAAGCAGCATAAGAAACCACCTTTAGTGATTTAACAAAAGTTTTACTTGAGCGATTTTTTATTAGGCCTCCTCTAACACCTAACTCGAACATAAACCCTGATCAAACCTAAATGAACTTTAAAGAATTTTTCAATTATCACATGCTTCAACTTTTTGGTGAATGAAAGAATTTTTGTTTTAGTAGCGACACTGCCGCATTAGGCAAAATCATTTGTTTACCTATTATTTGATCAAGGAATTTGTTCTCCGATATTTTATATGAAAATGAATAAATAAATCTAAAAATTATTTAAGGAATAAAATCTTGACTAACATCTAAGTTTGCACATGATAACTGATAATTCGAAAAGAAAAAAAAAGCAAGCATGGAAAAAACTATTGAAATCTTGTTAGGAAACAACTATATTCAATCATTTATTATAGGATTAATTTTAGCAGCATTTATTTTCAAACTATCAAGGCGATCTAAACTAGTAAGTTTTATTTCCACATTAATATTTATTCATAATTATTCTGTTAATATAAATGTTAACTTTTCTTAGAATCAACCGCCTCTTGTTTATTATCGATTTCCAATTATCGGACATACTTGGAGTTATTTAACGGATTGCGAAAAGTTAATTTTAGAATCTCGAAAAAAGGTTTTTTTCCTTTTTTTTAAAAAAAATAATAAATAATAAATGAAATAAAAATAAATATTTTTTCGCAATCTAATAAAAAGTTATGATTTATTGACAATAGTATGGAGAGACATTTTCGTTATATGTATTTGGTCGAGTACTGACAATAGTCGGAAAGGAAACAACTCATGAAGTATTAAAAAAAGATCATGATTTTAGTTTTCATGAAGGCTTTGAAATTGTAATTAAAAAACCTTTAACGAATGCGATCGCTCTTCATATATTATATTCTGAATAATTCTTTCAATTTTAAACCAGCGATTGCCACCACGTTTGATAACTAAGCATGCTACAATTCCTGATAAAAATGCCAAAATAATAAGAGACTATCTTGCAGGGAAATTAAAACATCTCATAAGTAGGCTACAAAAAAATATTAGTAAGGCTATGGATCTTTATATTGGTGAATGTGTTGGTAAGTTTTTAAGCCTTTAATTTATAAGTTTCTCATATGAAATTTAAAAGGAATTTTATTTCTTGCTAGAACCAAAGATTGTTTGTGAACCACGTAAAACTTTATCGGATATTATTGCAATTCCAGTTGCTAACATTATTTTTGGTGAAGTATGTATATGTATTGTTTTTTGTTTTTTTTTTTTATTATGTAAAACTTTCTTTTTGACATTAAATTAATTACTCTAAAAATAAAAATTAGGAATATTACAATAATGAGGATATATTAGAAACACTTAAAAGTTTATCATCTTCAATTATAAAACTTTTTATGATACCACCAATTTTATCTTTTATACATCCTTGGCTTCATCATAAATTTATCATGTAAGTTTATTTTACATTTTTTGTAAAAAACCCCCAAAATCTTAGATTCTGTTATTTTACATAAAAATAACTTTAAATTATTTTATTTCTTTGTTATCTAACAGAATTCTTTTTATATTTGGTTGGAATCCGATTTCAAAACATTCAAAAGTAATTCTCAGTTGTATTAAGCCGATTATTGAAAAACGTCTTTGTGATAAAAAGAGATTAGGTGATGCTTGGGTTGCTCCAGTAAGTTATCTATAAAGATATATTAATTATTACGAGAATATTTAAAATATTTACTCTTTTCTTTAATTTAAAAAAAAAATAGTTGGATTCATTACAATGTTACTTAGATGATCCCGAAATAACTCCTGATTTGGATCCAAATAATGTAAATTATGATTATATTGTTGATGCAATTAATAGTTTGATTTTCGTTGCTCTGGAAACTACGTCTAATGGGGCTACCCGTGCTTTATACGGTTTGTAATATTCTATTTTCATTATAAAACACTTTAGTTCTATTTACTTATATTTTATTTGAAAATTAGATTTGGTAGAAAGAAAGCAACAATATTGGCAAGAATTATATCAGGAGGCTCTGGAAATTAATAATCAGTGTAATGGAAATGAGCTTACATCTGATGATATTGCCAGAATGACGAAATTAGATAGTTTTGTTAAAGAATCTTTAAGATTTTCTAATGCCATAGTTGGTTTGCCGCACAAATGCACTTCTAAATCTTATTATACGTTTGTGAATGGATATCAAGTTCCAAGAGGTAATCTTTTCTTAATTGCTACTCTCTTAATTTTTAAGCCATAACTCACGCTATTTTCCTTAAAAATCATAGGCCGCATGGTCAGTTTAAACTTCAGAGACACAAATAATGATGAAGAACTTCAAGGTCAAAATCCCACAGAATTTTATGCATACCGTCATAATTCTCCTGCGACAAAACTCGAACGTAATTTTTTATCATTTGGAGGTGGAAAACATGCATGTCCAGGTAGAGCTTTAGCTGTTAATGAAGTTAAAGTGTTTTTGCATAAAGTTATGTTAAAATATGATGTTAGAACTGATACTGAGGAGATTGGACCTAAAAGAAGATATTTGGGACCTATTCCTGCGCCGTTAAAAGTTGGCTTGGTATTTGAGAATAGAAAGTGAATCTTAATGTTTTTCATTGTTTAAATAAGCATAAATATTCATATTACATACATATTTCAATAAACCATATATTTTAAAATAAATTATATTTATATACACTATAGTAAATTTATCAATTTATTTATGGCGCTTTTCAAATTACTGACTCCCAATGATAATCTATTGGGGTGTTCCACTGGGGTGTGCTGTTGTTACATCTGGAACTGACCTCTCTAGACAACTCAGAACTAAAAACTAATCTAACCGAGACTAGTTTTGTGTAATTTGGCGGTTTAAGGATTTTATCGAGGCTTAGATGAAAGAGGCGAACAACACGATAGTATATGAAGATACGAAAGGTTGAGGAAAACAACTCAACAAATAATGATACTTGTTGTTGGTTAACGTCAACTCCCCTTTCTCCCATGAAATTAAACAAGCCAATCACAACACAGCAAAAACTTCATTAATCGTGTGATTAAAGTTGACCAAATCAAATATTCTTGGGTATATGTATTTGTTTAAATATTCCCTTTCCCGTTTGAACCCAAAATGTTGACGTTAACCAACTAATCAACTTTGAGCGGCCTTACAGTATAAATGAAATTTCTCCAATATGCCGTACGTACGTATGATACTTTAAAAGTTTGCAGATGTGTAAACTTTTAGGAGAACCGATCAGTCTAACTACTTTAGGATTATAAAAGTTTATTTTCACGTGCGATCGTCAATTTTGATTGGCTGTCGACCATTTTTACGGCTATTGAAATAAATTAAAATTTATGACTCTACAGTGTTGTTCGTTGGAATACTGGAACTTCACTGGACGTCCAAACTCTTCCAGAGTTCCAGTGGTTCTAATGGGAAATTTCACTGGAACGATTTTCTCACTGGTCGATAAACAATATCATTAATTGAAATATCCAAAATAATCTGTACTTACAATTAATTTCTTATTCTGATTTATGATTCTTATGTCTTAATTTTTTGAGAATTTTTTTTACAAAATTTTTTTAAGATTTTAGTCTTAACTGAACTCAAAATTGTATGTTACCCCTACTTACACTTGTAAATTATAAAATTGAAAGCTGAATTAACGATAACTTCTAACCTAATACAATAATATATGACACCGGATCAACATGGCACAAATTTTAAAATCAGGTATTTTACACTTCATACATATGAATCTGGTCGTTCACACCATACTGGTCTGTGTAAATTACAAATCATAATCATAATTCGACACATTGGCTGTTCTTTCTTAGGTGTTTAAATAAGTGAACGATCAACAAACCTAAGAGATTAATAGATCACAGAACCTAAAATTGGCCAATCAAACCTGTTAAAGGTGACAGACAGAACGATAAAACACTTATTACAGTGAAGCCTCCATAAATACACGCTCTTGGACTGAAACTTTAACAACGTGCATTTAGAGAACAATAAGAAAAAGTGCATTTATAGAGGTCATGCATATACAGTAAAACCTCTATAAGTGCACGCTATTGGGACCAAGCTTTAACAACGTGCACTTAGAGATCAATAAGAGAAAGTGCACCTATGGAAGTTTTACCGTATTTGGCCGGAACTTGAGAGAAGGTGTGCACTTATAGAGGGCGCACTTATGGAGGTTTTACAGTATTTGGGCCAGAGGTTGAACGTGCATTTAGAGAGGGTGTGCATTTATAAAGGGTGCATTTATAGAGGCTTCACTGTAGCTAAAAGATTCACCTATATTAGAGTGAATGCAATAAATTTTCATTGCTACTCATTGTTAGAAAAAAAAAAAGTTATACTGATTTTATCATTTAAAACCGTAATTTGAACCTAAAATGTTACAGGATTGAAAATTGAAAATTATTAGTTTCAAGACTGGTCTATCCTATAAATTAGTCATGATTAGTTGTCACATGTTTTTAATTATTTTTTAATCTCAATTCTTGTGCTGAAATAGTGCGCGAACTTATTATAAAAAAAAACAGGTAACACAAATCACAACGACCTTAATTGACCAATCAGATTGTTTTTAACGGACAGACACTTAAAATTTTTAGTATGGATGGTGCCGGAAGCTTTTACTCGACAATCATGGGGAATGTTTCAATTTTCTTGTGGTTGGCCAAAAAATTCATGTATTTGATACTGCAGCAAAATATAGTATTTTTTTTAGAACGCTAAAACATTTTACAGACAATTTTTTTAAAAAAACCGACCGAAAACTTTATACACTTGACTGAGTTCTACAAAGTTAACGGTCAATTTTTTAAAAAAATTCTTCTACGGAAAGTTATAACTGTTCAAAATATAGCCAAATTTCAAATCGGTATAACTCTTCTTTTTTAAATAAACTGATCGTTGACTTTGCAAAGCTCAATCCTGTGTGTAAAGTTATCGATCAATTTTTTAAAAAAAATTATCTATAAAAAGTTTTAGCATATTAAAAAAAATATTACTATTTTTTTGCCGCATTATGTCGAAATACATTAATTTTATTGGCAAACCCACGATCATATAAGTTTCCGGCACAATATATAGATGATTTGGTGTTAGAAACCGCCCTTTGCAAACTAACAAAAGTTTGTTTGAGTGATTTTATTATATAAATAACTAACCCTAACCCTAATATACAGATATAAACGCTAATCCTAGCATAAACAAATTATGATGGCGTAAGTGAGATATCGCTATGTTGGTCTTGTATTTGATCTATTGTGGTTTGTACAGTGATGTGCTGTAAAAATTCTGTTATTGTCCTTGCCGGCTATTGATATAAGTGATTTGGTAAGGCTGCGAATGAATTGATTCGAAATTCAAAGCTACACCATACAAGAGACTCAATTTACCTTTCCATTCTAATTGTGATACTTGTACAAGATTCTGTCAAAATGAACCTTTTACTTCAAGCTTTATAAAATACTCTAATCACTATAAATACAGTCAGAC